CGTGACAGCAGTTAAAACGCAGGAGCCCTTGGATTGAGCTCCCAATTAGAGTCTCCAGGAAAAAAAGCAAACCTGATCATGCCAACCTCAGGCTTAAACCTTTCAATGCTTCCACATTGCCCTCAGCATAAATTCCCAACTTCTTAACAGGTAAACAAGGTTTTCCAGGCCCTAGTCATGGTCAGCTGACTACCATCAACCCTCACCACTCTCCCACTTCAAACACCCTGCTCCAGCAATGCTGAATTACCTACAATCTCGCCAGGCTTTTGTAAACACTGTTCCCTCTGCCTGTGGGGATCTGCCCACCCACCTCCCATCACCTCACTCTCACCTTCACTGGAGCTCTCCTGCTTTTCTTTTAGTTGCAGGGAACCCCCCTTTCCTCCATAGTGGGACCTCAGAGGCCCTGCGCTTGCTTATTGCAGCACCTAACACGCCCTACTGAGATGTGCTGTCTCTTGTGTGTCCCCACTACTAGCCTAGCTGTTCTTTTAACGTAGAGATTGTCATTTTCACCATTAGAACATTAGTTTTTCATTGAAAGCCTGCAACACAGCAGGAATACATTAAACATTTGTTTCAGAGCTGACTGAACCGGTGTCATGTGAGGGTAGGTATTGTGTTCATTTTCACCCAAAGGAATGCCGAGTGTTTTAACTGGCTAAGAATTTTATGAATTTAAATTTTTTTTTCCCCCCCACGGAGAATAGAGAAAGGGTATGTATGAAGATTCAGTAGTTCCACATGGAAAAAATAAAGAGAAGTAACAACCAAAGGTGTTAATAGCAGGGGAGAAAAGGGCATTATTATCCCAAGGTTAAACTTAACTCTGACAAGTTGGAGGTCATTTCCCCAGAAACTGAGGATGCCCATTACTAGGACAAGGAGATGAAGATTATAGAAAGAGCAGGAAGGGAGTCTTGGAAAGCACCTGGCTTATTCCTGATTGGCTTAAAAGAGGACGAATGACTTGTTCAAAGACACCAGGGCTAGAATCAAAGAGTAAGCGGAATAAATGGCCCCAAAGCTCTCTACATCCTAATCCCCGGAACCTGTGAATGTTACCTTACACGGCAAAAGAGGCTTTGCAAATGTGATTAAGAACCTTGAGATGAGGCGTTTATCCTGTATTATTCAGATGGACCCAATCTAATCACATGGGCCCTTAGAGCGGAGAATCTTCCCCAGCTGTGGTCAGAGGGAGACATGACTATGGATGGAGGATCAGAAAGATGCAATGTGAAAAGGAAGCTGACCTGCCATTGCAGATGGAATAAGGGCACCACGAGCCAAGGAGTGCAGGCGGCCACTAGAAGCTGAGAGAGGCAAGGAAGCTGAGCCTCCCCTAGAGCCTCCAGGTGGAAGGCATCCCTGCTGATGTCTTGATTTTAGCCCAGTGAGACCTGTGTGGGATTTCTGACATACACAACAGGAAGATAATACATTTGTTTCAAACCACTGAGTTACAGTAATTTGTTACAGCATCAAGAGAAGAGTAATGTAGGCTACACACATCGTAAGCAGGCCAAATAGGCAGGCTTCCCATCTCTTGTCCATAATTTCTTCTCACTCTTCTGTAGTGTTCTTATCCTTTGCATCTCTCTATCCTAGAGATCTTGTGGGAGTTATCTAATCCCATCTCACTTGGGTTGTATGTCGAGGTGGGAGCAGAGGGCTTGCGGAGTGATTTGCTCTGGGTCTCACACCCTAGAAATGGCAGAGCCCTTTCCAGAAAGATTGGCCTGGGGCTCGTGCAACATTTTGTGAGTCCAGATTGACCAAAGGCAGCCTTGTGCCAATCAGTTTAGAATCTAGAGAAACGACACAGTCTTTGCTGGCCATGGAACAGGCCTAACACTGAGAGACTATTGTTATTGACTCTGGGCAGACAGCCACAGAGCTCCAGGAAGAGGGAAGTATGGTATTTACACATGGCTTTCCAAGAGCAGGGCCTCTGCCGCATACATTGTGGTCCTGATAGGATCTCTTATGAAACTTCAAAAAGCTCCAATTACTCCCTGCGATTGCGTGAAATAGCTCAGGGTAGCGAGGTTATGACCACTGTCATTTAGATATGCCACCCCTGTATGCGGTCTGTTATGTAACCACTATACCACATTTTTACACTTTATTTAACATCACGCAGACATTTATGGAAAATTTTCTCTGACTTCCACTTTATGTGCATGGTATCAATATTGCTAATCTGAGAACCTGGACAGTGCTTAAATTAAATCAAATGAATATTGAATGAGTAAGGATGTGTGAATTCAGATGGGTGCTTTCTTTGCGAGCTCACACAGGTATTTGAGGAAATCAGAGTGTTAGAGCCCTAATCTGACATTCCCCTCCTTTTCAGGCCATCATGGGGCAGACGGAATTAGAAGGCTGCCCAAACCTTGAAGCAGCGTTAATTAGTGCTGCTGGGTATATGAGCCAAATAACTCCTTGCAAGATCAGTCAAAAGGGTAATATGCTTCAGAAACCCTTTGATTATTATCATGATCCCTGGGAAGTAAAGAAATGCCAAGGGACGCATGTGGCAATGCTTTGGATTTATGCAAAGTGCAAAGTAACTGTGGAGATGGATTATTAACAAGAGTTTCTCAGATCAGTGAAATGCTGTGAACTTCCTGGCTTGTGGCTGGATCTAACATGGGCAGATATTCTGAGGCTCGGCTTGTCTAGTACAATATTTGGGAAAAAGTTGTTTGGCAGCGAGCAAAGTATTATTAAGTACCCAGCCAAAGTTAGATAGTATGAATTGTAGTAGGCCAAGTCAGCATGGATCCGTAACTACTTTAAAGACATGTAATCTAAAGGAGAACTGGGGACAGCAGGCTGTGGATTATTCTGGGTTAGCTAATTGGATAGCACACAAGAAAGTCTGGGGTATTAGGGTATTGACATAGTAACTTACACACTGCATATGTGGAGCCAGGACAGAATTAAATGTACCCAGAAGCGGGCTGGTGGACCTGCTGACAAAGGAAGGTTAAGAAAAATTAAACATATCAGTAAGGCAAAGAGTTGGCTCAATGAAGAGAAGGGAGGGGAGAAAAATGAAGTTAAACAGGATGTGTCTAGAGCAGTGGCTCTTAAAGAATGGTTCCTGAACAGCAGCATCAATATCAATTGGGACCTTGCTGGAAATGCAAATCCTCAGGACGTACCAAGTCAAAATTCTGGGGTGGGCCTCAAGCAATCCCTGTTTTAACAAGCCTTATAGGTGATTCTGATGTATGTCAGTTTGAGAACTACTGGTTTAGAAAAAGGAAACGAAGTTGGAGCTCTCCTAGATGAGCAGTGTCACCTAAAAAGGAGGTACAGAGGCCTACTGTGCTGGTGGATGGCTGATATGATGTGATGAGAGTTAGTGGTACAGAAGAAGAGGGGATACTGAAGTCCCGATTTCAGGTGAGTCATCTGATGACTGAGGATAAAATCAAGGGTTAGAATAAAAGGGAAAAAAGTGATCCAGTTGCTCATATCGTCAAAGAAGGTGAAACTGAGTCTTAGAGGGTAGCATGTGAGGGTGAAGAGGGTTTGGAACGAATAATGAGATATCAAAGGAAGAAGACAGAATTGTGTTGGATAACTGGTTTAGCTGTGACAGTGAGCAAGTACCAGAATAGCCCCTATTCCTCTACCCTTCAGTTGGGAAAAATGGGAAAAACAAAGTAATTGTTCCACCAGCCAAAAGAGAAAGGAGCCAGGAAGTATGTGTCTGATTGGGAGAAAGAGGGTGGCTGCCTGGGAGAAGAGAGGTCTAAGTTAAAGAAAGGAGGTGAGGATAAATGGGAGTTTTAACCATACACAACTGAGGTTCTTAGCCCACCACTAAAAGAAAGTAGGCTTGGGATGAGTAGAAAATAGTTCAGTGGTGGAAGTTCTCCTGAGTAGCCAGCATAATGAACATGGCTCAAGAAAACAGTAGATCGGGAGGTCAGATCAGTGAAACAGCCAAGAGAGAACACTAAGTGAAAGGAGGGCGTCTGGAGAATGGAGAAAACACACCCGTGCAAAGAAGATACAATCCAACTTTCAACATAAGTTGTACTGAAGCAAACTCTTTCTCTAAGAAAGGGGACAAAATGGTGGCATGGGAAGTTGCTTACTATATCTCTAGAGGTTACAACTACAGCTTTCAGAGACCACTTAGAGAACAAGGAACATTTCTGATGAGGTAGGAACAAAGATAAAGATAAACCCACACTTAAAATTTTCAGTTATTGTTTAAGCAAGGACTCATGGTCAAAGTGAGTTCCCATTCTAATAAAGTTAGGACAACCCCCAAAATGTCAATGTGACATTCTTAAATAAGGCCTTATATTTTTATGATATTCATTTGTTTAATATGGAGAAATTAAAAAAGGGAGAGTTTTGTGATTTAGTCAGAAAGAGTTACACAACATATATGCTTTATTTCCAGGGATTTCTAAAATCATATGCTTTTTAAAAATCTCTACCTTAATCAAATTTACCCCCACTATATAATGTTTACTATTAAACCAACTAAATTGACAATAATTGCTCTCAAAAGACAATAATACATTGTAAGAGCTAATAAATTATAAAATATAACAGATTGCAACCAATTGCTTAACAACAAAAAGTAAAGAGGCTGACCCTTTATAACAATTTACAGAACTCTGTTTAACTTAATGAGAAAAATCTGCTTTGGATAAGGCACTGTTTCATCACTTCTCAGAGATTAAGGCACACAGTCACCAGCATTACAAACACAAATGTGTAAGAAAATCTGAAGACAGCAGCTGGTACAAATGCTACCAAAAAACAGGTGCCTTTGGGGCACTGATTGTTATGTCAAAGTATATTAAACTGTGCAAATGTAAAACTTACAGCAACTCAATTTTCCTTCTCTAATAAAGGTTAATCATTTTTAACAGAAGATAACCTGAAAGAACAAAGGAAAAAGTCAATTTCCTAAAACTACTTTTTTGAAAAAAAATTGTTTTGTCTCTTAGTATCAGGCAAATTTTAAAAAAAATGATTTAACTGGTATAATATTTTAGAATAGTATGTAAACAAATTGATAGCAACTAAAACAATTTTAATGGCACATTCAGGAGTTTACATTTGAAATGACATTATTGGTTAGGTCCTTTTTTGGGGATTTTATGGTTATGAGTCAAGTATCAATATTTTGTTAATGTTAATTTTAAACAAATATTTTGTTAAATTTAGTTATGTTTTTCAAAACAGTTAAAATTCCAACACATGAGATTTGAGGGCAAAGATAATGAAAAAATACTACTTTGGTAGAATGTTACTACAGTCAACATATTATAATAATTATTTCCTAAAGTTATTTCTGAAACAATAACCTAGGTCTAATGTTACTGTCTTTTAAGAATATTATAACATAAGTGCACAAAAGCAGTTTCTGCCAGTAATCACAACTCACTAAAGCACTTGGCAAATTAAACTTCAGTCAGGATCAAAATATATGAAATAAAGAAATGTTAGCATTCATTATACATCTTATAATTAATATAAGTACCTAACATGTTTTTAAAATTCACTTTAATGTTGGCTGTCATTATCTCAACCATTGGTTCTTTAAGACTGCCATATGGTTATCTCAGACATCAATATAATTTCCATGTTTTGAAGACATCACTTGGCTCGTCCCTGTGAAATACATAACAAATGAACAGATGTGAGGTAAAGATGATGTGATTATTACATAAAGCCAAAATGGCAAAGGAGAAGTTTCTCCAAATGGGCATATCCACAAGCCATGGCGAATTGCATCTCGAATATGGTGTGAGGTCCAGGATATAAATAACATCCAGGGAAGACAGCACCATGAATCTTTGAGCTTGAAAAGGTGCATCGTAAACTTCAGGGTCAGAACCACAGCGGGTATCACAGTAGAACAGTGAAGGAAAGGTCTTCGTGGAAGAGTAATAGCAGCCTGCACAGGGAAAGCGGTAGCTAGTATCATTTCCTTCTTGGCAAACAAAATTTTATAGCTGCTTCCTAATATTGTAACCATCTGTTTTCCTGCAGGCTATTGGAAATGCAAAGGAAACGTTTTCTATGCCACCTCCTCCAAAAACACTTTGCACTAAAAATGAAATCACGATCTCAGGAACATGTGATTAATTTTTAAAAGCTTCCTATTATTTACTTAGAAAAGTCACAATACAAACAGTTTATATCCTAAATATATGGTTAGTGTAAACTTGGACTTTAAAAAAATTGTCTGGGACCTCTAAGAGTATTGAAAAAGTCTCACAACTGAATAAAATATTCTTCAATTAAACTTTTTAAAATTGAAGTATAGTTGATATATAATGTTATATTAGTTTCAGGTGTACAACATATATTTTTATTGATTATACTCCATTTAACGTTATTATAAAATACTGGTTATATTCCCTGTGCTGTAAATTACATCCTTGTATCTTAATTATTTTATACCTAATAGTCTGTACCTCTTAATCTCCTTCCCCTATCTTGTCCCTCCCCCACCCCATTCTTCAATTAATATATGCATAAAAGATGAGTATTTTTGTTGTAACCTTTTATATTAGCCTTGAATACTTTCAGAATTTATTTATAACAACATTTAGAGGCAGTATATTATTTTAAACAAGTATTTGAAAGTTGAGTTAAATAAACCAATAGCATTTCTAAACCATTGTAAAAATGTAATCAATATCTAAACAAATGAAAATTTCAGGCTTAACACCTGAATGATCCATGAGTAAGGTTTCATTCTCACACATTCTAAAGGCTAATTTCCAACTAGATAATTTCTAATAAAAATAAAGCTGAAGATAGAGAAGATTGCCTGATTTGGAATCTCCCCACACATCTTCAAAAACACTACAGAACAATGACAAATAAAACTATACCAAGCCCCACTTAGCATAGCCAGAAGTCAGAGAATGCCCAAACTTCAATTACTCTAAAGTATTAAACACCAAGTTAGTGAGCACTCTCTCACACTCCCCACTCAAGCCAAAAAAAACTGCATTGAAGAAAGATAAGGGGAAATCTAAGATTGATCTAAAGTTACCACTAGAAAGAGAAAGTTCAACCCAAGTGTGGGGTCCTCGTACATAAGAGCACTAACTACACAGAAAGGACTTAAAAGTGGGCACGATTCAAGGCTCTGAAAAGCATTAGTTTTCCAGGAGAAGATGGTACAAAGGAAGGGAGAGGTAGCCTTTGGAGACTCGGGTGGTAAAGGGAAAAAAGAAGTAGTAAAGGCAAAAGTCAGGTTCCTATTTTTTAAAAAATAAAGGACACAACCTTCCCACCACATTAACAAAAAAATCATCCATTAAAGAGACTGTACCTTGCAACACTGTCAAATCAGACCAACCTTAAACTGGGTATCTTGTAAAGCCACTCCTTAAACCAGTATTCTTTAATCCCCACCTACCCGCTGAACATCAAAGAGTTTATTTATTCTACATTCCTAATTCCCTCTCCCTACTCCTCCACATTTTTAGTTGTTTTATTTTTACATTGTCAGAACACATAACATTTCTGTATTATGCCATTTTAGCCTCCACCTTTGTTTTTAAGTTATATACCCACAATATATCATGCTCCTCAATAGCAGCGTGGGATGGGGGGCAGGATGGGCTACAGTAATCAGTACTTGGAGGAGAGCAATAGCCTCATGTTGAGATGATTAGCAGTTGTGCTCTGGATGTGTGGAGGGATACTGACTATTCACAATTTCATTTGTGAAGTCTATTTATATTAATAGTTGCTAAGGAAGAAACAAGAAGTTTCTGTTGCTTGCCTAATTTCTAAAATATTCATGCAAATTATTCATTCATAGATAAATAATAAAACAAAGACATATCATAAAATTATACAAGTAAAAATAGATATCTTAAAAATAGAAGTAGCTACCCACCACCAGTCCCTCCCATCAGGAAGCTTGCACAAGCCTCTTAGATAGCATCATCCATCAGAGGGCAGACAGCAGAAGCAAGAAGAACTACAATTCTGCAGCCTGTGGAAGGAAAGCCACATTCACAGAAAGATAGACAAAATGAAAAGGGAGAGGACTATGTACCAGATGAAGGAACAAGATGAAACTCAGAAAAACAACTAAATGATGTGGAGATAGGCAACCTCCCAGAAAAAGAATTCAGAATAATGACACTGAAGATAATCCAGGACCTCGGAAAAAGAATGGAGGCAAAGATTGAGAGGATGCAAGAAATGTTTAACAAAGACCTAGAAGAATTAAAGAATAAACACCTAGAAGAATTAAAAAACAAACAGAGATGAACAATACAATAACTGAAGTGAAAGATACACTAGAAGGAATCAATAGCAGCATAACTGAGGGAGAAGAACGGGTAAGTGACCTGGAAGACAGAATGGTAGAATTCACTGCCGTGGAACAGAATAAAGAAAATAAGAATGAAAAGAAATGAAAACAGCCTAAGAGACCTCTGGGACAACATTAAATTCAACAATATTCACATTATAGGGGTCCCAGAAGGAGAAGAGAGAGAGAAAGGACCCAAGAAAATATTTGAAGAGATTATTGCCGAAAACTTCCCTAACACGGGAAAGGAAATAGCCACCCAAGTCCAGGAAGCACAGAGAGTCCCAGGGAATATAAACCCAAGGAGAAACATGCCGAGACACATAGTAATCAAACTGACAAAAATTAAAGAAAAATTATTAAAAGCAACAAGGGAAAAATGACAAATAACATACAAGGGAACTCCCATAAGGTTAACAGCTGATTTCTCAGCAGAAACTCTACAAGCCAGAAGGGAGTGGCACAATATATTTAAAGTGATGAAAGGGAAGAACCTACAACCAAGATTACTCTAACTGGCAAGGATCTCATTCAGATTTGACAGAGAAATCAAAATCTTTACAGACAAGCAAGAGCTAAGAGAATTCAGCACCACCAAACCAGCTCTACAACAAATGCTAAAGGAACTTCTCTAAGTGGGAAACACAAGAGAAGAAAAGGACCTACAAAAACAAACCCATGACAATTAAGAAAATGGTAAAAGGAACATACATATCGATAATTACCTTAAACGTAAATGGATTAAATGCTCCAACCAAAAGACACAGGCTCGCTGAATGGATACAAAAACAAGACCCATATATATGCTGTCTAAAAGAGGCCCACTTCAGACCTAGGGACACATACAAACTGAAAGTGAGGGGATGGAAAAAGATATTCCATGCAAATAGAAATCAAAAGAAAGCTGGAGTAGCAATACTCATATCAGACAAAACAGACTTTAAAATAAAGGATGTTACAAGAGACAAGGAAGGACACTACATATGATCAAGGGATCAATCCAAGAAGATATAACAATTATAAATATGTATGCACCCAACATAGGAGATCCTCAATACATAAGGCAACTACTAACAGCTATAAAAGAGGAAATCGACAGTAACACAATAATAGTGGGGGAGTTCAACATCTAACTTACATCAATGGACAGATCATCCAGACAGAAAATAAATAAGGAAACACAAGCTTTAAATGACACAATAGACCAGATTTAATTGATATTTATAGGACATTCCATCCAAAAACAGCAGATTACACTTTCTTCTCAAGTGCACATGGAACATTCTCCAGGACTGATCACATCTTGGGTCACAAATCAAGCCTCAGTATATTTAAGAAAATTGAAATCATATCAAGCATCTTTCTGACCACAATGCTATGAGATTAGAAATCAATTACAGGGGAAAAAACGTAAAAAACACAAACATATGGAGGCTAAACAATACATAACTAACTAACCAAGAGATCACTGAAGAAATCAAAGAGGAAATAAAAAAATACCTAGAGACAAATGACAATGAAAACATGATGATCCAAAACCTATGGGGTGCAGCAAAAGCAGTTCTAAGAGGTAAGTTTACGCCAATACAAGCCGACCTCAAGAAACAAGAAAAATCTCAGCTAAACAATCTAACCTTACACCTAAAGGAACTAGAGAAAGAAGAACAAACAAAACCCAAAGTTAGTAGAAGGAAAGAAATCATAAAGATCAGAGAAGAAATAAATAGGCCTTACCTGGTGGCACAGTGGTCAAGAATCCACCTGCCAAGGCAGGGTACACGGGTTCAAGCCCTGGCCCAGGAAGATCCCACATGCCATGGAGTAACTAAGCCCAGGCGCCACAACTACGGAGCCTGAGCTCTAGAGCCCACAAGCCACAAGTACTGAGCCCACGTGCCAGAACTACTGAAGCCTGCGTGCCTAGAGCCTGTGCTCTGCAACAAGAGAAGCCACAACGAGAAGCCCGCAGACCGCAATGAAGAGTAGCCCCCACTCACCACAACTAGAGAAACCCTGCACAGCAACGAAGACCCAACACAGGCATAAATAAATAAATAAATAAATAAAAGAAATGAAACAGAAACAAAGAAAACAATATCAAAGATAAATAAAACTAAAAGCTGGTTCTTTAAGAAGATAAACAAAATTGATAAACCTTTACCCAGACTCATCAAGAAAAAGAGGGAGAGGACTCAAATCAATAAAATTAGAAATGAAAGAGGAGAAGTTACAACAGACACTGCAGAAATACAAAGCAGCATAAGAGACTACTACAAGCAACTCTATGCCAATAAAATGGACAACCTGGAAGAAATGGACAAATCCTTAGAAAGGTAAAACCTTCTAAGACTGAACCAGGGAAAAATAGAAAATATGAACAGATCAATCACAAGTAATGAAATTGAAACCATGATTAAAAATCTTCCAACAAACAACAGTCCAGGACCAGATGGCTTCACAGGTGAATTCTATCAAACATTTAGAGAAGAGCTAACACCCATCCTTCTCAAGCCTTCCAAAAAATTGCAGAGAAAGGAACACTCCCAACCTCATTCTATGAGGCCACCATCACCCTGATACCAAAACCAGAAAAAGATACTACAAAAAAAGAA